TTTTTGCTACAAGCGTTTGGTCCAGTTATAAACTGTCCCAAGCTCTGCAGTCTGGTTGGAAGGGGAGGGGGGAAGAGGGTCTGGTGGCCTCCTCGTAAGGAGCTTGCCTCTCTCTCACGTTTACCTTCAGCTGCTGTGAGTCCCTTCCCTCACAACAGACACTCATTCTTACATCCTGCCTTCAGCCCTAGCTTGGCCAGGGTTGCGGGGGCACCGGCCCCCTCCGAGTGGGGAGGGGCCTCTGTCCACCCCTCGGCTACTCTCTCTCACACACTCACTCAGACACAGCAGCAGACTGACTCTGCCAACTCACTTCCCGTAGGGGGCATGTCCCAGGGTCAGAGAAATCAAGGGACATGCCCAGGGACAGACAACCCCATTGGCTAGAAGGTCACATGGTTTTAGGGGATATAAGGAAGTGCCGAATTTGAAATAGACCTCTTTGTTTTCTACCTCAGAAGAGTGTGCATCATTCTTTATCATATAAAGACACCCCCACGCTACATATGGAGGCCGAACAGGGACCTAGAACCTACAATATGTAGATTAAAATATCCTGAATCAGGCAAATTATTCGGTTATTCTGGCTATTTTCTCAATTGTTTGAAGATGGGGATTTTCACCGAAAAACTCAGACGTCTGTAAATCCGTTGTCTCAGTAGCGTATGAGAAATGGGAGTTAAAATAGTGAGCTCAAAAATATTTAGGGAAAAGTGCACAGAAGAAAGAAGAAAGAAGTAAAGAAGAAGCCGAGAGATGGGAGCAGGCAGTTGGAGAGAGCGGAGCGGGTCCAACATCCACCAGAGCAGTGAGTGAGCTGAGAAAGTGGCGATACCACCTGACATCATGGTCGAGGCTGTTCCCTGGAAGGCGGCAAGCCCCGCGGCTTGAAAACCTCGAGCGGCGGAGCACGCCCAACCCTTCCCGGAGCCCTGCCGCTTGCCACGGCTCAACCGTGTGCACAAAAGCGGCACCGCTGCTACCCGAAACACCCCCAGCCCCACCGCGAGACCCCACGAACCCCGCACCGGCTTTCCGCCCAGTGGAAAGTGCTGCAGCACCGCGCAGCCTGCCGCCCCCGTCAGTGTCCGCCAGCCGCCCCGGACGCCCTGGGGACCCTAGGACCCCGCGTGCTGCCCCGCCGCCCTTCTCCCGCACATGCCGCAGTCTGCAAGCGTCGAGAAACGTGACCCTGGCCACCCCCCCTTCCCTTCCCGCTGCTGCAGGAGCTGCTGCAGGGACCCCACGCCGCGACTGCCGCCTTCACTGGCCTCGCGCCACGCTTATAAGCTGCGAGGGACCTGCTGAAGCCACACCGTGACTCCGCTGGCACCTGGAGCCCCCACACCGCCCAGCATACCGCAGGAACCCCGGAGCCGCCTTCTGCCGGTCCCTGCCTGCCTCTAACAACAGCGCAATGCGTCCAAGCCACAGAAAGACCCACCAGGAGCGGTGCAGACCCCGAAGGAACCTCCGCCGCTTCCCACCGCCGCCACCATGGGAGTCGCCCCCAGACCCCCCCTGCCGCCGTCTGTAGCCGTACCTTAGCCACTGGAGCCGGCACCGGAGCAGACGCTGGACACTGCAGGGACGCCGAAGGAGAAAAAAAGCCGCAGAGAAGCAGCGTCCGAGAAATTGAAACTGAAACTCAGCAGCTAGACAAAGAACTCCCCCCACATGCCTGCCGCCCCGGGACTAAGGTAAACATGGGGAGCTTTATCTCCATGGAAACCTTGAAACATTAACTTTACTGCTAAAATCTTACCACATTCAAACTACAAAGGCAGAGTTACCAGAATTAATAAGATTTGTTAGGTCTGTACACCCCACACTCCCACTAACAGAAGTGTTACATTTAAACACATGGAAAACACTAAGACACATTCTAAACCAAAGGACCGAGGCAGGCGATTGCGGAGCCTGCAACACAGTACCAGTTTACACAGTGATAATGTCTGCCCTCCACAAGGCACACAAGTGAATGAAAAAATTGACCCACACCCCGCCCCCGGCTCACACTGCTAGCAGTAGCACAACCCCAAGGCATAGTAACAAACTCACGAGATGTACTGGGGGGGGGGGGAAAGGAGTTGTTCGTGAATTAAGTTACCTGTCAGGAGCCGAAAGCCACGGGAACACAGGTCGCTGGGAGGGAACAGAGCCTGAAATGCGGGATCCCAAGCCATGGGATCAGCGCACAGGGCTCTCTTACAGTGATGAGGGAGTAACCCAGACCCTCTGCCCCCCCCCCCCCCCCCCACTGCGAATGAACAGCGACCACGTGTTTCAGAGTGGGCGCAGCCATCTTGGCCGCCAAATGGAACGGAAGCTGATCCATCTTTTCCAGTCTCAACGCCGCCCCTCCCCACCCATAGACATGAGGGGAAAGAAAGTCCCTCCCCGCACCGCCTCTACCACCAAACACACACACACACACACCCCCCCCAGGAAAGCGAGTTCACTGGAACCACAGGGAGGGAGGTAAAGGGGGATGAGGGACCAGGGATGGTTCCACTGGGAGGGAGCGAGGAGGCAAACAGGGGAAGGTCAGCTAACAAGTGGGAGCAATGTGGGGATGAAGCATTTCGAGTGAGAGGCTTGAAGGATATTCAGGCATGCTCAATCGATACTAGCCAATGTCAGCCCCCTCAATTTCAGCCTCTGTCATATGAGGCTACAGAGAAATTGAGGCAGTCGGTAAGAGGTGCTGGCATGTTTTTAACCAATACTTTCAAGTATTTGGAGACATTGAGTTCCATCTATTTTTTCACCCCACATGACTGGAAGTGTTGCCGTGGGATTTATGGTGCTGAAAAAAATCTCTCGGAACAGTTAATTAGGGGTGAGATAAGAAAGGGTTTATTTGCCAAGGCAAAGATGTTACAAGACGCGCGCCCGGCGTGCCTGAGAGGTTACATTTTTATAATACCATCCATCCAATCCCAGCTGTGTCCACCCTGTGGCCTTTACTCTGGTCCGCCCCGGGTCCACCCCCTTAAAATGGGTCTGGGGTGTATTTTGGAACCCTCCATTCATCCCATCTTCATCATCATCAGAGCACAAAGGGTACATAGTTACCTAATTCCTGACCTATTCTGTGGTTTAGGCCCAGATATGCTGTTCTGTCAACTGTCTAGGCCTTGCCTTGACAAAAGACTAAACATTTCTATTAGATTTGGGGCTATGAGTGATATAGGGAGGATAGAATGGGGTAAGAGGGTTAAGGAATGTATAAACAAGGGTGCTAGAGAGAGGGAAAGGAACAAAGGACAAAAAGGGGGGGGGAGATTGCTGCTTTTAAAATCCACTTCCACTACTTATAAAACTTACAAGTCTTACAAATATTAGAAAAATAAAAAACCATTAGGGGCTTAAGGCATCAGTCCCCCCTTAGAGACTGGACAAAACCCAAAGGTCTTGTCCAATCTCTACTACCTACACCTACAACAACTATAACATCGGTGTATGCAGTGAGCTATTACACTAAGTATGTACAATACTAAAATAAACAGTTGTCTCATCCATGTCCAGTTCGGTAACCATGAAGTGAGTTTGTGGAGGATATCTCCTAAACCTAGGGAGACATCATCTAGAGATATTTGGTGTAAGATTTTGGTTTGATTTCAAATTGCAGCCAAATCATTATTAATTCTACCAGTCTGATCTATGTAAGAGCAGCAGCTGGTATTGATGACTTTACACACGCCTCCCTGTGAGGTTAGCAAAAAATTGAGGGCCATTCTATTTTGTATTACTACATGAGACAAGCTTTGGAATTGTTCTTTCAGGGTTTCAATTGCATCCTGAGTGTGATCTTGAATGTTTTCCATGACAGCCGAAATATTTACAATTGCCTTTTCCAATTCACTCACTCCTAGAGATGGGACTAAAGCCCTGACTGTGCTGTGGAAAATTGTAGGGCACTCAATGAGGGGATTGCTAGTTCTTTTCACTCTTTTTGGATAGGGTTTTTTCCATTCCTGTTCATCAATTGGGTCGAGAATTGTTATATTTGGAATCACTGCCCCCAGGGCACAGGTCCGATCTTTATCAAGGGGCAAAACTTTCCAGGCCTCCTTTTCACAGATCCAGTGCCATCCTGAACCCTGGGGAGGAATTAATCTCAAAGGGAACTGTGCCATCCCCGCAACAATTTCTGGGTTTATCTCTTCTTTTGAATTGTTTTTATCACAGTAGGGGGGGAGAATGATTTTTCCTGTAGTGTTTATAATCATGCAGGGAACAACATCCTGATTAGAAATTACATTACTTAGGGCCACCGGATAATAAACCTCTGTAACTGGCTTCCAGGTCCCTGGGAAATTCATCATGGACTTACCGAAGTTTGTCTCATTTAGTAAAATGCCAATTAGGGGCCACTCACTATTCTCATCATCAATTGCTGGTACTTGAGTACAAATCCAGCATTCAGTTTTCCGGAGAATTTTAGATACGTTTTGGACTAGGGCCACATGCAATTTTTGGTCCCAAACTCGGTTCATAGTTACCGGTTGCATGAACAGAATACACAGAACAAGCAGTCTATTCCACATCCTCGTCATCGGTGTCCGGTTCTGATTGGCTGGTTGTTCCAGGAGCTGATGCTTTCTTGACTCTGGAATAGTGGAACCAGGGTTCTCTGCCAGCAACTTTGACGGCGGTGAGGGAAGTCAGCAGGACTTGGTATGGTCCTCTCCACTTGGCTCGCAAGGGGTCACTGTTCCACCACTTGACGTAGACCCAGTCTCCTGGTTGGAATGGGTGAGCAGGGGTGTCCAGTCCTATGGGTCTGGATAACTCGATGACCTTCTGCAGTTTCTGCAAAGTAGAGCCTAAAGCAATCAAATATTTTTGTAAATCGGCTCTCCCTCTTAAGTGTACATCCCCTGGTATATGTGGTGCCTGATATGGTCTTCCATATAGTATTTCATATGGGCTTATGTTATCCCTCCGCCTCGGCTGGATACGAATCCTCAGCAGAGCTAGTGGCAAAGCTTGAACCCACGACATAGATGTTTCCTGACAAATTTTGCTTATTTGCATTTTCAAAGTGCCATTCATTCGTTCAACTTTGCCACTAGCCTGAGGTCTATAGGGGGTATGTAGGTCCTAGACAATTCCCAGGATGCAGCATACTTCTTTTACTACTGTCGCAATGAAATGTGTTCCTCTGTCTGATGCCATTCCTAGAGGAACCCCAAACCTTGGAATTATGTGGTTAAGTAAAGCTTTTACCACTTCCCTTGCTGTGTTAGTGCGACAGGGGTATGCTTCAGGCCATCCACTGAAAGTGTCAACCAATACAAGGATGTATTTGTACCCCCCCCCATGGTGGTAACTCAGCAAAATCTATTTGCCAGTAATCTCCGGGTTGGTCTCCAACTTTTGTTACCCCTAGTACCACTCTCTTTGATGTATCTGGGTTGTTTCGTTTGCAGATTTCACACTTACCTACTATGGACTGCACAGCTTCAGTCATATTTGTTTCTATTACTGTTTTCTTTAGATGTTTCAGGAGGTTTTCCGTTCCCCAATGGGTAGCCTCGTGTTCCTGTTGAGTTATTTCCCTAAGGAGCGGTGGTGGGACTACAACCTGTCCAGTAGGGGTAACAGCCCACCCCCCTTCTTTGATTTCAGTTTTCAGTGATCTAATTAGCTGATTGTCTCTCTCATCATACTTAGGGGTGTATTTTGTCAAATCAATTTCTTTTTGTGGCACTATTGCCAAGATGCCTTTTTCTGCAGCCCCTTTTGCTGCTTGATCAGCAAACTGATTTCCCAATTCGGGAATTGTTTTCCCCTTTTGGTGGGCCCTACAATGCATAATAGCTACCTCCTCTGGTTTCCAAATACTCTGCAGGAGTGCATGGATTTGGTCTGCATGCTTGACTCCACTGCCTTGGGCTGTCAGTAGTCCTCTTTCTTTCCGGATTGCTCCGTGGGTATGTACAACACTAAATGCATATTTTGAGTCAGTCCAGATATTTACCTTCTTTCCTTCACTCAGTTCCAAGGCTCTTGTCAATGCGATTAATTCTGCTTTTTGGGATGACACACCTGCTGGCAAGGCCTTTGCCTCGATCACTTCGTCTCTGGTCGTCACTGCATACCCTGTGAAGCGCTTACCATCTCGCATGAAGCTGCTTCTGTCTGTATACAGTTCCCAGTCTGCATTTTCCAGGGGCACATCTTTCAGGTCTGGTCTGCTGGAGTAAGTCTCCTCTATAGTCTGTAAACAGTCATGCTCGGGGACATTTGGTTAGTGTTGAAGACAGAAACATAGCTGGATTTACAATAGATGTTGTTTTCAAAGTAACATCGTCTTGTTCCAGCAACACAACCTGGTACTTAAGCATTCTGCTGGGGGACAGCCAGTGGCCTCCCTTCTGTTCAAGCACGGTTTGAACTGCATGGGGTACATACACAATGATATGCTGCCCAAGGGTGAGCTTCCGGGCCTCTTCAATCAGGATAACAGTTGCTGCAACGGCTCGCAGCCACCCTGGCCACCCTTGGCTAACACTGTCCAGCTGTTTAGAGAAATAAGCCACAGCTCTTCGTTGGCTTCCCAGAGTTTGCGATAATACCCCCAGAGCAACATTCAACTGCTCGTGTGTGAATAGTTCAAAAGGTTTAGTCAAATCTGGTAGTCCTAGCGCTGGAGCTGACATTAAGGACTGTTTCAGTTGTTTAAACACATCTCTGGTCTCATCTGTCCATGTTACAACTCCCTCTTTGGCCGTTTTCAGGGCTTCATACAGAGGTTTGACCAGCAACCCATAGTTAGCTATCCACAGCCGACACCATCCTACCATTCCCAGGAAAGCCTGCATTTCTCGTACAGTGTGGGGCTCTGGGAGACGGCAAATGGCCTCTTTTCGATCTGTACTGAGTCGCCGATGCCCACGATAGATTTCAAGTCCCAGGTAGATGACTATCTCTTTGACTATCTGTGCCTTCTCTCTCGAGACCCGATACCCACTTAGCCCCAAAAAGTTCAAGAGACTTACAGTGAGCTCGATCCATTGGTCCCGGCTTTTGGCTGCAATTAAGATGTCGTCTACATACTGCAGGACAACTCCTTCTTGCTGCTGTCTTCTCCAGTCCTCCAGTTCTTTTGCCAACTGATTTCCAAAAAGTGTTGGACTGTTCTTAAAGCCTTGTGGAAGAACTCTCCAGGTTAGTTGCGTTTTTCTCCCTGTCTCAGGATTTTCCCACTCAAAGGCAAAAATCTCCTGGCTGTCTTTGTGTACAGGAATGCAGAAAAAGGCATCTTTAAGATCGAGTGCAGTGAACCATCCTAAATCCTCTGTCAATGTGGTTAACAGTTTATAGGGGTTGGCTACCACTGGGTAAATGTCCTCAGTTATTTTATTGATGGCCCTAAGATCCTGGACTAGCCGATAGCTTTTGCCATTGGCCTTTTTCACTGGTAGGATGGGGGTATTAAATCTGGATTCACATTCTACCAGTAAACCAAATTTAAGGAACTTTTCAATTATAGGTGCTAGGCCTTTTCGGTTTTCTAATTTCAAAGGATACTGGTTTTGCCTTACCGGGACTGCTCCTGGCCTGAGTGCGATGCTTACTGGTTCAGTTTGCTTTGACTTCCCAGGGTACTCGCTGGCCCAGACTAAAGGTATGACAGCATTTTCAACTTCTGCGGGGATCTCTCCATGATTTTCCTGTATAAAGAAAGCAGTTGCCTCAATATATTTAGTATCTGGGATTATAACCTTTATGTCTCCCCCCTTGGTGAATTTAATTTCGGCTTCTAATTTTTCCAGTAAGTCTCTACCCAGTAAAGGCTTAGGAGAATTTGACATGTAAAGAAATTGGTGAGTTACCCAGTGCTTGCCTAATTTGAATTTTAAAGGTTTAAAAAATGGCCTTGTTTCACTTACCCCTGTAGCACCTACCACAGTTACAGTTTCATGACTCAGTTTCCCTTCCAAAGTATTTAATACAGAGTATGCCGCACCTGTGTCAACCAAAAATTCAACATTCTCCCCCCCAGCTTAGTTGTAACCAGAGGCTCTGCTGGGGAAGAAACCTCCGGTCCCCCTCATACATTCTGACTCACAGTCAGTTGGGGGGCTGGTGGTGGTGGGGGGGGAAGTGGGTTTTCAGTTCCCCTCAACTCCGGGCAGTCTTTTCTCCAATGTCCCTTTTTCTTACAGTTAGAACATCTGTCTGCTATGTCCTGTCGACGGTTAGACCTGTTATATCTGTGGTTACGTCTATGAGGCTCTCTATAGCCACCTTCTTGTTCCATCACCCTTGTTTTCCTTTTCCGCTCCCTATTTTGATATACCGTCCAGGCTATATCTAACAGCTCACCAATATCCTTTTTATCACCACCTGCTTTTTGCAGTTTTCTTCTTATATCATCTGTGGACTGCCCTACAAATAAGTATACCAGATTTTTCTTTCCCATATCTGATTCAATGTCTATGTCGGTATATTTCCTGATGACATCCTTTAACCTGTTCAGAAAATCTGTGGGTGATTCATTTATGTCTTGTCTAACCTCATACATTTTGGACCAGTTCACCGCTTTTGGAACTCCATGCCGAAATCCATAAATTACCCAGTCTCGATAACGTTTCAAAGCTTCTAAATTTGCTGATACGTTAGGATACCATCCAGGATCCTCGGGGGGGGGGGGAAGATATCTTTGATATCCTCACCTGGAAACTGCCCAGAGGTTTTTAGCATCTCTATTGCAGTTCGAGCAGCTCTTTTTACCATCTCCTTCTCTGTTTGGTCTAATAAGGTATCCATCATAACCTCTAGATCACACCAATCAGGATTCTGAGTTTTGATTGCTCTTTGGACATAATTTGTCACTTTTTCTGGATTATCTCTATATGCCCCTACACGATCTTTCCATTGCTGTAACTCAAACAGTGAGAAAGGAACCTTTATTAATACCGTGCCCTGATTGGTTACAACTTGTCTTAAGGGGGCTTCTAACGGTGGCTTGTCTTTTGCTCTTGTTCTACTTGCAACCGGGTCGGGGACTGCTAACGCTTCGCGGGCCCTCTTTCCCTTTGGTCTTACTACAGGCGGGTCTGTTTCTCCTTCCCCCGGGCTATCACTTAATTCACCCTCTGCTTCCGTGTCCTTATCAAACGGTGGTAAACCTCGCTTCTCCCTTCTCTCAGCAGCTGAAACCGGCTTGCCCTGTCTATGCGTCTCTGTTCCCTCTTCATGAGTGGCAGAAGTTGAAAACTCTCTCGGTTCCTCTTTTCTCCCCCCCTCCGGAAAGGTGGAATGGCCCCCCTCGGGAGGGGGAAGCGTGGGAAAGGGGGCGGCTCCAGCTCCACCCCCCAAGTCAGTCAGGACAGAGGCCCCGCCTGTTGGCACCGCCCCTGCCCCTCCTGGAATTCCAGGGGTTGTTCCTGCTACCGCTCCTGGGGCCCCTCCCCCCGCCGCCGCTGCAACCGGGGCTGGCCCCAAGCCTGTTACTCCCGCAGTGCCTGCTCCTGTACTCATTGCCATGGCAGCAAGTCCCGTACTAACCGTGCCCGCAACGGCTCCCGCCGCCCCCGAGCCAACTCCTCCGGAGATTCCAACTTGTCCAATTCCCCCCAGCGCAGCCATACCCGCACCAGGGAGCCCTCCCACGGCTCCCGCCTGCCTAGCCGGAGCCGGTCCAGGAGCCGCCACCCCGGCAGCCCCAGCCCCCCCCGCTGCTGTCTTACAAATATTAGAAAAATAAAAAACCATTAGGGGCTTAAGGCATCAGAAGAATCTAATGAAATTAGTTCTTAATAACACCCAATATACAGTCTGGTTAACTGACTTTCGGGAGAATTGTGCTAAGTATGCAACCAACACCCAAGCAGGCATAACAACAAACCAATTAACCGGGGATGGAAATTATAGTTCAATAGATGCACAATCTAAGTACCGTAGAGAGATATACAAGATAATAGGTAAACAGGCCCTGAAAGCCATGAAAAACCTTCTCACTACAGACCAAGATAGCATCCTGTCCTCCACAAAAGTGTTACAAGGCTGTACTGAACCAAATTCACAATGCTTAGATCGGCTGCAATCTGCATTAAACAAGCAAGTTGAGTACAATGAAGCCAGAGAGATGCTGTATAAGCAATTGGCTTTTGAAAAGGCGAACTCAGACTGTGAAAGAGCTTTGCAAACCCTTCCTGAAAGGGAAGGCTACAGCATTGCTGAGCTGGTTTGACCCTACCAAAGAGTTAACTCTGTGGAGCACCAGTCTGCCCCTTTTGCTACAACCCTAAGAGCCCAGTTAGGAGTAAAAGATGAGGTCAGACATAGGGCAAGTTGTGTCAGATGTGACACTGACCACTTTCAAAGGGATTGCCCTTGGAGACCCTTAGCAGCAACATCCCACAAGTACCTAAACAGCAGGGAATGGACTGAGTTGTACCAAGGCAGAGACCACGCCATGTGCATTGCACTACTTGCTGCCGTGCTGCTCGTCATCCTCCTTCTCTTTGCCAACCGCTTTCACAAGCAAGGGAGGAAGCAACTTGAGGCAAACCACAATGTGCCAACAACCAACCCCAAAAATACCCCTGTATTCTGCACCCCCAAGAAAGGTGAGAGGAGGAGAACACTGCAAATGTTAAAAGCAGTAAAAAACGCAGTCATAGAGCCTACGGGAGCGTTGCAACCAGGACTACCCTCACCCGCTATGCTCCCAACAAATTGACCACTAGTGGTAATTGATTTCAAGGACTGTTTCTTTACCATCTTTCTATACCCTGAGGACGCGCCAAGGTTTGCCTTCTCCATCCCGGCCTTGAACAATGCACAGCCCATGCAAAGGTATCACTGGGTTGTCTGTCCTTCCTCAGAGGATGAAAAATAGTCCTACAATATGTCAAACAGTAGTGGCAAACGCTATTCATCCCATCAGAAGGCATTTTCCCTCTGCTATCATCTATCATTACATGGATGATATTTTAATTACCATGACCACAGAACATGAACTGCAAATTGTTGTTGCTGCTCTAACTGATGCTGTCCAAGATGCAGGGTTACAGGTGTGCTGGTTTAAAAGTTAACCAGCAGGGGAAATGAACTCAACTCAAAAGAGAGATTGTAAGTCAGAATAACAATTTAATAAAATAATACAATAAGCACAACTACACAGACAAGCAATTGGTATCAACCCACAAAAACCCAAATGTACAACCTGGCACCCCAGGGCACAAACAAAACAGTGCTCCCTGGGCCCCCCCTGAGTCCAAAGCAAAGGGAGAGGGGAAAAAACCTGCTGGTGGGAGAGCTGCTGCAGTCCAGCTAAAAGTGGTGATTGTAGTCCAGCCGAGTGGTGGTGAACTGCAGTCCTCCTCTGGGTCCCACGAGTGGAGAGAGTGGCAAGGTTCTGAAACTCCAGGTTTATATATTCTCCAGCTCAGGCAGCAATGCTTAGCCCCTCCCCCAGAGTGGGGAATTCCATAAAAGGATGTTCAGTCCTTCCCTCAGAGTGGGGAATTCCATAAAAGGGTGTGAGGGTGCTCAGTCAGGGAATTCCACATAAGGGCATGAGGACAGGAGCATGGGGGGGGGGCACCTCGCAGGCCTCTACTGACAACAGTTTCTGTGAAATGGCATGGAGGGCTATAGAATACACAGTTTTGGGCTACACCCATCCAATGATGAATCGGTCCCCGCTGTTCTAACTAGGACAACAGGTTACTCCAGAGAAAATCCAGCAATCACAACCCTGTACTTACCTTGGATGGAAGATCACGCAGCAGTAAATTTCCCCACAACCACTGCAGCTCAAGGTAAAAAACACTTTACACGAATTGCAAAAACTTCTGGGAGCCATCAACTGGTTAAGGCCTATTTTAGGCATAACCACAGAGGAGCTACACCCTCTATTTGAGCTACTAAAGGGGGACTCCAGCCTAATGTCTAACATGTCTCTGACAGTAGAGGCAAAGCAGGTGTTAGACATTTGTGCCAAGGCAATAGAGAGCAGACAAGGCAGAAGGAGAAATCCTGAACTGCAAATCTGCCTGGCCCTTGTTCCCAGCAGGTACCAGCCATTTGCAGTTTTGTTTCAGTGGGATCAGACTAAGAAAGACCCACTCCTAATTCTGGAGTGGCTGTTTCTGCCCCACACACCACCTAAAACTGTGTGGACTACTAACGAAATGTTTACCAAGCTTGTCATTAAAGGCAGAGGACGATTGCAAGAACTAGACGAGAGACCCTGCTGTCATCTACATCCCAGCTACAAAGGACAGCTTCGACTGGATGCTAGCTGAGGATGCAGAATTCCAGGCTACCCTGGCAGGTTTTGACGGTGACATTTTGTTGAGAGTATCTTAGATGATGCAGGACATAACATACTGTTTCAGGCCTGCTTACACAATCCAACCTGCATGCTGGACGGCAGGGACCTGTGTTCTCCAGCAGCAGATGTGTGTCCTTGAGCAGCAGATATCAGAAAGCTGCATAGAGGCAAACGAGGGAAGAGGATGTTATCCAGGGTGTGAGAAACCTGAAGAGGGGAGGGCCAGAAAAGGTCAGAGCGCGTGCGTGCCTTGGTTAGGAGAGGGAATAAAGTTATAGCTAGAGCGTGTGAACCCTGTAGGACCCTTAATAATGTGTGTATTTTTTGGAATAAAGCAGAGCATTGACTGTACCTCCATGAGGATGTGTCTGACTCTGGAGCTCCTTTTTGCATCTTCTCCTTTTATCTGGCACCCAGAAAGGTGATAAGAAGTGCGAAAAGGCAGAAGAATGCGGATAGCCGATTGACCTCCTTGGCGGTGAGATGTGGTCAGAGACATGAGAGACTGAATGGAGCGGGACAGAGGAGTTTCGGATCGCGGAGACCAGTCAGTGCGAACTGAGGTAGGAAGGATCGCTACCTTCCCCCTGTCCTTTGCTGTAAGCATGGAATCAGAATTTACTGCAACTACAAAACTGCTGTTAGGTATCCTCGCTAAGCGAGGGAAACAGTAACTGAGAAGGTATTCGACAAGTTTATTGCTTGGACCCATGAAAACGTGGGGTTTTTTTAAAACACCCCCTCTCCTTTTCGCCTTTGAGGAATGACGGGGTTTGGGAGATAGACTTTGTGACTTGACTACCCTCGCTGCTACTACGAAACTTCTTGACCATGCAGTCATCCTACTGAAGAGGGGAGTGCGTCGCGGCCTGGCACACACCTTTCCATAGTTCTCGTTTCCATCTCTAGCTCCTTAGCTCTGCCATGTGGGAATTAGTGAGGAACTGGTTTGCGGGGTGGTTGCCCCGCATAAACCATGCATCTAAGTGGTCGAGACAAGAAAGCAAAATCTCTCTCTTTAGTCCTTCTAATCACTTGTAGATAGCTTAAAATCAAAGAATTGCGTTTAACTGCAAGCTAGTACGCAGACAGTTTTAGGAAGTTTTTCCGGGAAATGAGTATTTGTACGAAAATCTTAGTGAAATGCCTTATTCTTAGCTGTATTTTACCCCTATAAAACCCTTCTACAAAAATATTGTATTCAGAAAAAAAAAAAAAAAAAGCAGGGTTTTGACAAAAAGGGTAAAAAACCCCTTGCAAAACTTTGCCTTTGCATTAGCAGAGAAAGAGATAAGGTGTTAGTGGCTCACACAATAGAGATAGTTTGTTGCCGAGCAACTGAGTGGGAGGTTACACCTTCTCTGGCCAAACTCAAAAAAAAAAAAAAAAAAAAAAAAAAGAGTTTACATTACCAGTTTCTCCAGACTGGGGGAGGGGGGGGGGGTGTAGAACCCTCCTGCTTTATAGAGACTGCAACTTTGCAATCTTCTGATTGGGGAAAGAAATATTTTTACCTTACAGTTTGTGGGAGGGAGGGCAAAAAATCTAAAAAACCTCTCCTGTCCAGCTTTGAATCTCTCTGCCTACAGGATAGGGGGAGGAGAAGCGAAACACTGCAAACTGAAATCTCAGTCACATACCACAGTAGTGATTTAAAGAAAAACCAAAAATAAAAAGGTTAGAAATAATATTCAAATTAATGAAAAGAGTCACGAATAAAAATGTATTCATTCTCAATCTGTCATTAGTAATTCTCATGAATAGAGGAGCCAATCTGTGGCTCCAACAAGCTTGACCAGAAGTTGGGAAGATGATACAGAATACAGTAAATTGGGGAAACTATTCTAGTTGCTTTTTTCATTTTTTCTATTATTCAGGACAACAACCAGAGCCATGCATTGGCCATTCAGTGCAGGCCATGTATCTTAAAGAACAAAATACATTGTTTCTTTCTTATGTAGTAGGTCTCTTGCCCTAATAAATATTACCAGAGCTAAGAAGGTTTTTGCTTCTTAGATTGGTATACCAACAATGTATTTTAACTTATTGTTCTATGTGGTATTACTGGTAAGCAAGAATCAGAGTTAGGATTAAAACTTACATTTTGACTCCAATATAGAAAGTCATAATATGATTAAATTTGTATTATGAATTTAGCTGGAATTTGAAAACAAACTCCAAATTCTATATCAACTGACTTTTGAAGATCTCTCACTGGCTTTAGAGATATCTTCAGTGAATTTACTTCATAATATCCAAACTGGAAAAACTTTAAAAGAATGGATTGCTAGTATAGTTTGAATAA